CACATGTCGGAAGGCCAGCGAGGGGGCGGGGGCGGTCCTTTGGCGGCAAGCGGAAGGCCACCAGAGGAGGGCCCCTCCTCAAGGGCCCGGGTGGGCGTGCCTCGGAACGCGGGTGTCAACTGGCGCAGAGGGAAATGAAGGGTGAGTCCAGCCGCGGTGCAGGTGGACTCCAAAATTGCAAACGGGCCCACGTTTCGGGATGAGAGGACGCCGCCGGCATGGGAGGTCTGTCACGTGACTCCTCGCTGGAGAGTAACTAGCCGTGGTCATTCTTTGTCGAACGGAATCGCGGTGCGGAAGGCAATATTTCACCCGCCAGGGGTTATCGCGAGCTTCGGCAGCGAGGTGTGGCGGTTGCCACGGGACGGGAGACCGGGAGCGGCGCCAAGCCGCTGGGGTCTGCGTCAGACTGGGGCGGGGATGCCTCAGAGATGTGCCGTGCTGGGAATGCAGCGCTAGTTTCCGAGGAGTGTGTATATAGTGTATAAAAACTTGTAAATAAATATGTATAAAACAACTCCGTGTCTGTGTGTTACTCGCACCCGACGGCGCCACAGAAGATAACAGTTCTGACAGTGTAAGGGGTAAAACACAAGACTTGAAAATTTCAATCTCACCTTATTGAGAGAGCAGACAAGTTTGCGTGCCTGGCTGCAGTCTGGAGGATTCTGCAAGAAGTGGAGTCTGCGCTGCACTAAATCGCTCAATTCAGCAGCTTCCTTCTCCCGCCAACTGTCGTACTGATCTGCCTTCTGCAGGGAACTCAGGTCCGTCAACAGTGCCCTGGAACACACCCAACAGAATTCTACAATGAAAAGAAAATTTGAAAGAGAATATTACATCAAGCTACTGTGTATTTTTGAATTTAAGCTGGGACACACCCAACAGAATTCTACAATGAAAAGAAAATTTTAAAGCAGGATATTATATCAACTACGTATTTTTTGAATTTAAGGAACACCTTCCTTTGCGATTATTGGCTTCCAAAAATTGCCATGGTATAGGTGTTGTGGTAAGATATCTTTGGCATTTTTAAAATAATTAAAGATGTTGTCATTGCCAACAATGTTTTTTAATTCAATAGCAGCTTTCGATGGCTTAGCCATCATCATCAATTGTCTGATACAAGAAGAAAAACACAAAAAAACAAAAACATTAAAACGTGAATTAACAACAAGATTATGATAAAGGTTACAAATAATTTACAAATTTTTTGGAAAATATATTTGACAACGGGAGAAAGAAAAAGTGTGTGTGTGTGGGGGGGGGGTTAAGCCATTAATACTAAAGAAAAGCGAATGAAAATAGAAATAGGACACGTAAAAATTATTTTTATACAGAAAAACATAGAAATGTAAGTTGCCATGGTACCCAATATTTGTGTATACTTGTATATAAAACATTCTGAAAGTGATACATCTGGTCTTTATTCACATTGCATTAGCAAGAAACAAAATTTACACGATGTACCAGTATAAATGATACGAAATTTGCCCCAAAATAAATGATACAATGCCGGTGTCGCTAACCGAATTGCTTAACTACGCTCCGTGAAGTCACGAAAGTTACGTAATTAGAAATATCGCGTGATCCTGGATGGGTGACTGTCTGGGAACTAGGGGGATCTAACGGCGCCGAGCTCCTGACCGAAGGGATAAGAGGCAACGACCGACTACGACTGACGATGACTGACCAGAAAAGATTACTCCATTACACGTTCAACGCCACTATGTGACTATAATAGAATGTTGTTAGGTATTAACGTAACACAACTGACGAACGTCTAGGGCATGAAGGGGGGATAATGGCTTTTTGTGACAGGAAATCTCATATACTTTAGTTACACGTGTGAAATTGCCACTGTCAATCAGTTCACCGTGCCCTGGCAGGTAAACCGAAATTGGCGAAAGTGATCATCGTTCACCTATCGCCCTAGACATTCATAACATTTATTCTCTAATATCCTGCATAAAAGAACTAATGGGGCTACAGCAGCACACATTTTCTTGCATTATTTTTAACTTTGCAATTTTCGAAAATTTAGAGTTCAACGAAAATGAGTCCCGTGCCATTCTTTTAAGCGTCCTTTTTTATATAGAAAATTTTAAAAGAAAAAATTGAACGGCTTTTCAGAAAAACATTTTTTTCAAGAAATTGTCCATGACCTTTTTTACAGAGCTGATTTTTACAAGAAACTTTGTCTAAGTCAAAAATCTTAATAATTAATTTTGTTGTTTAGAAATGTAAACTTTTTGCAATTTTCGAAAAAACGGAGAGTTTGCTGAATATGGGACTAGTACAATATTTTTTATCGTTCCCAGAAACATATAAGGAGAAAATTTAAAGAAAAAATTTTGAGCGGATTTTGAGAAAAAATTAAAATTGTCTCTCTTTCGCGCAAAATTACACCAAAACTACCCATATTTTTGAAAAATTGAATAAGACCTTATTTAAATAACTGTCTTTAAAGAACAGATTTCATTAGAAAAATATCTATATTCAATACTATAGCTGTAAGAACACGTCCAAAAAATTGCACTTTTGCAGTTTTCGAAAAATCTAGGATTTTAACGAACAACAGGCCTGCAACATTGTTTTAAGCGTTGTTTACTCTGCCCGAGGAAGTTTAATAAAAAAAAAATGGGGCCACTTTTGAGAAAACATTGAAAATGTTTGAGGTATTATTTAAAGTAACCTAAAAAATCAAAATATCCTTTTGAAACTACAGAAACCTTGAGATAGTTTAGATCAATACTTACTAATACTAATATCAGTAGATATTGTTCAAATCGATCGAGGATTATCAGTTTTCGAGAAAATCAGCTTAACGATTTAGGCGTTAGCGTTGATCACAGACGGTTAGATGTTTTGCCGCCAATAGATTTTTCGGTATCAATGACCCACTAAACATGGATTCTGGTTACACCACGAGTTAGAGTTCCTATACACAGCTACTGGATTTATAATAATTTGCTATACACAGCAACTGGATTTATTCACTTTTTCGTTAACAGGGCCCGGTAATAAAAGTTTTTCTGTCGAAAATTCGCAGTTTTCCGGCGCACGATTACATAACTTATTTTTCTTACGAAGTTAGGGCAAGGAAGTAAAAAAGTCCGTAAATGTGACTACATACATCTCATGTTCTTCTCCCATTTCCAAAATAGAGTTGATTTTCGACACCATTTGTGGAGCGCTTGTCTGAGCTTGCTTTTGGAGTTTATGCAGTTCTGATGACATGTAGTACCAAAACTCATGGACTCCATTTTTCAATCGCCTCCTCAACTGTTCGTATTCTGAGGTTGGTTCCTTGTTACCAGACACTGAAAAATACAAAATAATGCAAGTGAAAATAAAACAAGATAATTGTAATTGATAGCAACAATACATATGAAGATGTGACGTATAAAACATGCTAAATGTGACAAAGAGCTAAACCAGTTGTTTTTTATAATGAAAATTATAAATAAAAATAAAATAATAAATAACAATCAATGCAAGCAAAGATTAAATAATTGATGATTAAATTAAGCTTTCAGAAATAAATCATACATTTCCAAAACCTCAAAGTTTTAATATTTCGAGTTAAAAATAAGTTAAGAGGAAAGTAATTCATTTACTCAAATTATGCAACATAATTGTTGAGAAAGCAACAATAAAGATCAAGAAACTGTGAACCTGAACCAACTTTACCTGCCACAGGGGCTAAACATTATGAATAACTACCTCATCCAAATATCTATTCTTGAAATGAATTTTTGCCAGTAATAGCTTTTAATTATCACGTGTGAACATATACGTAATTTTTAAATTTTTGGAAGGTCCATTGATTTTTTAAAGGCAGACAGTATAACAAACTGTATTAAGCAATATTTACATTTTTTTATAGATTAATGTTTCAAAGGCCTTTGGCCTTTATCTTCAGGGTCTTTTTCTATTTTTTTTTGTTTAGGATAAGGTTAATTATTCCAGAACACATTCTTGGATAACAAAGTTGGAACTGAGAAGAAATAATATAATATTTTTGTGTTAGTGAAACAATTACCTCACTCATGTTTTGTTATATGTTATAACCTTCATCTTCAAGGTCTTTTCCTTTTTTATTTTGTTTAGGATAAGATTAATTATTCCATAATATATTCGTAGTTAAAAAAAAGTTTGAACTGAACAGAAATCATGTGATGTATGATATGGGTTTCTGCGGCCTCGAGTCTTGTGAGTGAGTGTTTTCGGCTGTCCGGGTGTCGCCGCATGGAAGGCTATGGCGACGTCCAGACCATATTGCCGTGCTCTTCCTCAGGGCTGATCAGTAACATCCCTGAGGAAGACCACGAGAAGATGGTTGAAACGTCGACATTGCCGCCTTCCACTCGGCGATACTCTTAACAGCCAAGAGTACTCACACATAAGCAAAGAGATTCTAAGAAATCTCTTATTCCAAACTCTTTCAGTTTTTTCTTGTGGTCACTTCCCAGCACTGTGGCCACAATAAGGGTGGTACACTAGGGATGACTAAGATTTATTTGCGCATGTGCAGACAGAAGTCTTACTGAAAAGTCCTGAATATTAAGGTAAAGGTACTTACACTATATCGAATGACATAAGGGGGTGAGAAATTATAACATAATTAAAAACATTTCCACAGGAAATTCAAAGATTTAGATTGCATGGATTGTTCTCCTATTCCTCGAGTAGGGGGCCTGCAGTTATGGATTTGCCCACTGTATCTTCGAGTTGAAATTCTAATTCTAGTTTCTGTTTACAATAATCTGACAAGCTATTCTGTCTATTCATCTTCCTACTGAGAATTTTTTGGGAACTGTAAACTTATTTTGGCGGGGTAAAGCATCGTCATTGAACACTCGTGATCAAACCGATTTTTGAGACTAGCGAAAATGATCAAGAAAAAAATGAAGTCGTTACCGATGAACAAGAATTGGAAATTGAAGCTGAAATGCAGGAAAGAAGGAAATAGGAGAACTTCGAGAAACTGTATTATTCAACTTGAAATTCCATATGAAATAAGGGACATTTGAATGTGGTATTTGGAGAAGGAAGAGTCCTTGGATACTAAATTAAAAAAATGTTTTTCATAGCAACATGCAACAAACCTTGAAACTGCTCACCATTCATACCGCCAGTACTTTGTTGTAATAATGTTTCGGCTTGTTTCAATCGATCTTGCAAATCTCGATACATGCTTGGATCTCTGCGAACAGATTTTACAAAAACAAATATTTTAATTATATATATTCCGCATTTATTGCCATTCACAAGAACTTGACTTTCAGAATATCACAAAGTTTATAAAATTCTGAATCCAAAACATAAAAAATTACACGAGATCACATTGTGTCAGCACGTACCTACTTGCCAAACAACAATGCAAAATGTGTGTACAACACATGTATACGACATTCCCCTTCATATGTTCACTGGCAAAAAGTGATCATCTTCACCTCCTCTACGTATCCTAAACGTTTGTAATATTTATTTCCTCTCCTATTATATTTTCTCAAATAATTCTCAAATTCAAATGCATAAATAGTCAACTGAGATTGATAAAGAATCAACAAATAGTATTTTCATACGACTTCAATAACTCACAAACTTTATGTTGGAACTTATTATACGGTTATTTAAATAGAAAGTAAAAACTAGTGGTGATAAAATAGCACGTACTCTCTCGCCCGTATTTTGACACAAAATTACGCGAAAAGTACTTCCATTTTCAAAAAACTGTACACGACCGTATTTCAAAATATATCTTTAAGGATCAAATTTCATGAAGGGAAAAAATCTCTATCTTTAACATTTAGATTAGGAAGATACCGAACAAATTTTGTCTTTTGCAATTTTCGAAAAATCAGGGTTTTTAACGAACATGAGACCAGTACCATTCTCTTAAACGTCCTTCCATAATTTAGTTTTTAAAAAAAATTAAAATGTTCTATTAACTTCGAAGTTGTGTATCTCATAGCTTCAAGGACTACTTTTCCTCTTCAAGAGTGCCAAACATGCCATTTTTTGAATTCCATTTCTTTCTCGAAGTAAAACAAAAATCTTCATAATCTATGGAATTATTTTCTCTCCTTTCGAGCGTAAATGAACATAAATATACTTCGATTAAAACATTAAGTCCGTTGACACTTATCAGCTGTGATGATGTCATGAAATCGAGAGCTTGAATGTCACTACAACCGTGACGTCACTACGGTGACGTTCATGTTCCCGATTAGGTGACAGCGCAACAGCTGACCTATTTATAATAAAATTCTTTAATCTAATTAATGGTTTCTGACTAAGGTGTTTCAGGTTTCAAAGTGTTTGATAAAAATGACTGTCAAAAATAATTCTGAACTAAAAATCTAAAAATAGAAATATCAATGGCAGTCTGAAGATGATAGTTTATTTTCATGACTTGCTACATAATTGTTTTCTATTTTCCACTAATTCATAATTATTACCTATTTCAGTAATACTAATATTTTTAAAAGTGAATTAAATATGCCTAAATAGCCGTTTTAATTTAAAACTTAAGTCGTTTGATTTAAAACTATTGCTTATGTTAATACAAATTAATATTAAAAATGTAGAACGCGATTGCTGGCGCCGCGCCGCCGCCAGCGCTCTCCATCGTCGCGCTCGCGCACTCACTCACCCGTTGCTGACTTCGACGACGAGCGCGCGCAGTTCCGCCGTCTGCCGCTTGAGCGCGTCGAGGTCGCTGAAGGCCAGGGCCAGCCGGCGCGCCATCTCCGGGGTGAGTTGACCGCTCGCCCCATCTCCGCCTGCGCGCCACGAGGGGGAGAGAGAAAGAGAGTGAGTTAGTGAGTGAGTTGGAGAGTGAAACGTGTGTTGCTGTACAGATAGTGGCGGATCCAGCGGAGAGGCATGCCTCGAAAGGCCTACAGCTTTCGTTTGCTACATTCATTTATTTGACAAAATTGATTTAAACACATTTCTATTACAGTTCTGTAATTATTTAAACATTATATTATATTATATAGTATATATTACATTACATTATATTATATTATATAGTATATATTACATTACATTATATTATATTATATTGTATATTATCGTATATACACAGACACTTCGAAACTACTAGGCAATATAATAAGAAACGCTTATTAATTAATCCTTTGACTGCTACGGACCGGCTGACTGTGAGTCACGTGTCTTGCGTCAAGCTTCTCCTCTGCGGGCCACGTTGTGAACTAAGGTCGCTCGGGCAAGACATTTCAGTTATCAGAACGACCCAGCGATAGGCGAAAGCACGTCTGCACGAGCGATCTCGACCAGAAGCCCCCAACTCGTTCAGAGGCTGCTACGCACGGAAATATTTCGCATATCAACTCGTCCAGGGCAGTCAAAGGGTCGAAAATGTACAATGGTCCCTCGCAGAATTATCGGCTGCATCCGCTCTCCGGGTATATAGCTGGGGGGGGGGGGTCGAGGAGGCAGGGCAAGGGGAGGATGGGGGCAGAGGGCAGGGTGGCGGGGGAGGAGTGACCGGAAGCAATGTGGCAAAGGTGGGCGTAGGAGCAGTGGCGCGAGAGGCACAGGCCTGGGGGGTACAGAGCAGGAGTAGAGAGCATGGCGTAGAGTGAAGAGAGAAGAGGGCTGGGGGCGTGGTCAAAGGTTAGGGGGTGGAGGCCAGGAGTCATAGGACAGCAAAACACATAGATACCTAACTGCTAATATCAGAGAATTACGTACAGAAGTAGTGAATGCACTCTTAGAATGAATTAAATCATAGAATGAAATATTGTCTATACACTTAGAATCAGTGGGTAAAATAAATGTAAGACACTTAAAAAAATTAAAGTCATGATTGAAACAATCAATCTTATCAGCATAGTAATTGGCGGTTCTTTATAGTCTATTGAAGATGTAGTAATAGCTGTAGTAAGTTGAAGATGCATCCACCCAGAAGCAGATAGATTTTCTCGTTCTCGTCTAAGGGATGTGAGGAGAGATAAGAGAAAGAAGGTCCGGGCAATCAATGAGACCATGTAGTATTTTATGGAAGAGAATTAAATCATCGAATTTTCTCCTACCCTGAAGTGTTTCCAATGTAAATAAATTGTAGAATTTGGAAAGACGATGATTAAATCTATGAATTGGCGTCCCGTTTTTGAAAGGAAAGTGAAAGTGGAACAGAGAAGTGATACTAGAGCGCATCGGGGGTAGAACAAGGCTGTGGCAGATTGAAGGCGGAGGGCAGGGGGTAGAGGAAATAGAATGGAGTATACGTACTAATTTAATACTAAATGGTACGTACTAAATGGAGTTTACTAAAGATTGAAGGCAGGGGCAGAGGGCACACACGATAAAAAGATGGACATTTGCTCTATATAACGGTTTAAGTAAACTTTAAAACCCTTCTGAATCCCTCGTGCATTACACAAACAAAAAGTTTTTGGTTTAGAAACAGCTTGCGAACTTCACTAAAATTCGATAAACATATGAATGGCAGGCATCTCAGCGATAGGTAAGTTAAGAATCGACAAATAGGGAATTTTGTTGTCAAAAAATAGCAAGTAGGAAAAATGTAAGCACTTAAAAAAAATCTAATTGCCAAAGAAAGAAAATAGATTTTACAATCATGTTAATTTTTAATAGTTCTTTAGATTAATCCAAACAATAAACGTGTTCCAAAATCTTAATTTTATTGAAAACAAATATTACTTTTCATATATGAGGGGATAGTTACAAAGCCCGGAACGGACATCCCATTTAATTCTTCAATTTAGTAATATTTATTAGAATTATACACGAAAGCACACAATTACAGTAGTTGTTCTTAAGGTCACCCTATGTGCTGTGTGTGTGGTACTTTTTGGTAAACCATTTTGTGTCGTTCCTCCAGCAGCTTTTTCACTGCCGCAGACCGCAAACATTCGAATATTGTCGCAAGCACTGTGGTCAACGACGAGAAGTTCCCAGCGGCACGTTTGAGTCATAAATCGGCTCTCTTGGAAGTTGGTCGCATCCAGAACTGCTCGCTCGACCCGCTGCAGCGGTCGCAGGCTCATAAAGCCATTAGTGCGTATGCGACTGTCGTTCCTACCCTCGCTGACCCTTGTGCGTGTTCCAACATGTGTGCCGCATGCGGTCATCTTTTGACATTGCATCTCGATATTGATATTGATATTGATATTATTATTATTATTATTATTATTATTATTATTATTATCATTATTATTACCATTATTATTATTATCATTATTATAATATTTAAAATACTAAGGAGTGTGTAGAAACGAATTTGATTCATATTTTTGTTTCCCAGTAGCGAAAACGACTAAGGTCATTAGTCCTGTAAGTGTAGTGCATGTTTTAGAGTTAGACGAGGAGGTGATGTTCCCTTCCGGCGCCGGCCTACACGCTGGCTTGTCGGTCCCCCATCCAGGTATCTTTCACCAACGGGGCACCGCCCCAGTCGGGGCATGCTCAAAGTTTCCGACTGATCTTCTGACACGTTTGGTAGCATAGTGCAAGTAAGTGTGTGTATGTGTAAATAAGAGGGTGAGCGTAGGGCAAGGAAGAGACAGGAAAGATCGCGAGGAATTTGTGGCCCGTTTGTCCGTAAGGGTACTATTCCAGCATTCGCTTGAGCTTGATCGGAGAAAACTACGGAAAACTATCGACGAGTGCAGCCGGCCGCTGAAGTTCTCCTCCAGGCAGCGGCTGAATTCGATCTAGCTAGTACTACTCGCGTAACTTTTCTTGAACGATGACCTTGCTGCCCCCTCTCTGTCACAATAAACAATTGAAGGCAAAAGCTCGCAGCGAGCACTGATGACAACATTCCAAACACATCTTCACCACCGCGAAATATAAACAATTTTCTTTTAAAAGTGAGAACTATCCGTTATTTTTTCCCAAAAATTTAAAGAAATGAACGATGCAGGTAAAGACCTATCACAAGAGCTACCTTGAACTCCTGAGAAAGAACGCATATTATTGAGAAGTTGCGAAGCCATGACTGATGCTTCAGGGATTGGCATTGCTTCATAAAATCTAGTGGCCGATTTCGTAACTAATACCCCCACTCTACCCGCATTTCTTCAATTCATCGTTCAAGAAAAGTTGCGCGAGTAATATCGAAAAAGTCCTGCCACACCGTCGGGACGCGAACCCTAGTCAGAGCACCGTCGTGACACGCGTTGTTGCCCTGAGCTACCTAAGCCGGTTTTAACTCTGTGAGCTGCCGTCGGGACGACTCGAGAAAGTGAAATGAGACGGGTTGCCTCACTCGTATTGAAAGACAGCTCGGGCAAGTACCTAAACAAATGTTACGCAAAAATTATGAAGCTATGGGCGTGTTGTGGCCAGTTGCAATTTTCAGTATAGTAAAGAGAATTCATTATTGAGAAAACTTGGCAAACGGCCGCGCTTTCGCTGCAGTAATTTCCCGGTGACACATCAAGAAGAGTTACAATCGTCTTGTTTGAACGAAGTTAAGATACTAACCCTAACGAAACCATAGGCACCTCCCACATGGCTTAGTTTTCTTTCAATTTCTGCCTGCGTCGGAAATTAATAATATAGTTATTGAACTTGAGATGCTATTTTTGAAAAATCGGGTGGATACGGAGAACAGGCAGACGAGCTGGTAGTAGTTCGCGACCAGTGTTTTCACTGGTTCCGTTTATGACGTCACTCTTTCATTTGTTCTGTTTATTTGCGTTTTATTTCCTCAGATAGCGACTCTGGGCCGTTGGTGTCCGGAATTTCCAGTCAGTCACCAGACCACGAACATGCTTATACTTGGATTTATTTAACCGTGTGTTTGAAGCCAATCCGCTGTTCACGGTGTCATCCAATCGGGAGCTTCAAAGTTACCGTAGTGACGTCACTACATACAAAGCTTCCGACTGGATGAAACCGCCAAAAGCTGGTACTTGCCAGACGCTTGACTTAAATCTTGCTATAATCTGTGACCCGACGTAACCTGACCAAGCCGTTCCGTAGCCGACGTTGGCTAATTATTCATGTTAAATTTTTCGAAAGCTGAAATTACTCGCATGGAAATAATAATAATAATAATAATAATAATAATAATAAACACTATATAAAAAGAACGGACAAGGTGTAGATCAAGAAAGATCAATTATGTGGCTTAAAAGCCAGAATCGGAAGCAGAATAATTACTCCCGAAGAGCAGGCGTTGAGAACACGTCATTAAGATAAAGCTGTCCTCAAAATTTCCCGAGATGATAGATACTTCATCTGCTAGGAACAAGTAGAGATCATTGTTCATATTGTCCCAGTTTGTCCAATTCTTTCAAAGACCGAATACTTGATAAGACCGGATAGAGTGCATAGTTATCTCGACTAGCAGTTCCGGAACGCCTTCGAAGTTCCAAACACATACTCCAAGTGGTAGGAACACTCACCAAAACCGGTGACATCTGTTGGATTGTGTACAATATTGTACGATCACGAAATTCAAACTGCTCAAATTCAGAAATAAATTATTTGTTTACCTTCAAAATCCTTGACGACTATGTGTTAACATGCAACTAGTATAACAGTCCAACTTTACAAATACGTCAATGAAAAACAAAGGTTTATTATTATTATTATTATTATTATTATTATTATTATTATTATTACACTAAATATCTAACAATTGGAAAAAGTCCAAAAAACAACAATTTCTACTCCACCTTCCTTTCAGAAACGGGACACCAATTCATAGATTTAAACATGGTCTTTCCAAATTCTACAATTTATTTAATTCTTCAGGGTAGGAAAAA